TTAAATTCTCAAATTAATTCCATTAAAGCAAAGTGGTCTCCGTGGAATACAGCCATTAGATTACATAAGCTTTAATTACCAGCCAGTGTTGACTTGTGACTTTTACTTGGAAATTACATGTCATACTTTCTATTTAATTTAGATTTTCATTTGGTTTGCCTTATTCTACTTGTTCCAAGAAAAAAACACCCACATTTATTGTGCATACAGCAATGCATAACGTAGTTTCATATCCTAATCTCATAAAAGCTTACTTATGCTGAACTTTAAATTTATAGGCAACCTCCTTGAAGCCAAGAGGCTACTTTGTTTTAAAAAGCATTCGTCTGGTTGTCTGCTTTTGTTTACGCTAAGAAAACCACCACCATTACTATGCCCCTATTCCTATATGACAGATGAAGCATGCAGCTAAAGAAGTACTCATAATGTGTTCTCCAAAGAAGAGTGACTAACACAGGAAAAAAGAAAAAAACAAGCCAGTATTAGCTGGCACAAAAGAGAAGGTAATTTTTCACAGATTCTCAGGCTGACCTAACTGCCAGCAACTTGTTATAATTGTGTAATTTTGGCCTTTGTTCCCAAATGAAACACGGTGTTTAGCATGTCTTTGGAAAAGATAAAGAGTACGCTAACAATCATTTTAGCTCTTACTTATGACTTACCTAAGCAGAGACAGAAATGATTTTTGCAATATGAAACTGTAACTCATGGGCTGCTTCTGTGGCACTCTAAGCTTTACAATTTTCAGAAATGAAGTGAAACACTGAAAATTACAAATGTAGTTTGGACTGGTAGTTGCCAAAGTTTCAAGGAGAATTATTAGTTACAGGATACTGCTTCAGCTTTGAAAAAGAAACGCAGATGCTTTGCATACTACTATATGCAGTTTCCAAAAGCACTTGCATTTCGTCAATTTGACCCACTATTTTTAGTGTTTAGTCTTTTGCTTTGGAAAAACTAAAGTTAAGTTGCACTGAGGACACAGCAATATGAGCTTGGCTGTGTTAAATTGACTCTGATGTATTTTTTGTTTTTAACCCTGCAACAGATTTGTAAAATCTGTTATAGTTAGGAGCTAGATGACCAAGAAGGAAAGCAGGAAAGTTGCAGGCTAGGACTAAGAACTTATTCCACAAGCCTCCCTCTATGCAGCACTGCCAATGCATATTTATCAGACTCTGCAAACTCTGCACTATCCCAGATCTGCTGAGTCTCCTCCTGAGAACAGACTGTCAGTTATGTCAAACTGGGTGTTAAAAGCTGCTGGGATTTTGTGGCTTGAGCATACGTTTTCTAAAGACAAAACTGAAATCAAGCTCCTTTTCCGTTGGGAATGAAACACATCTCTGAACTACGATGTTCTTGTAAGGAATCAACCACACCACTCCTTTTCCCCTCTTCTTCCCACTCCCTAGAACCTAAAGACAGATATATATTCTCAAACAGTTCCAACATGTAGCTTGCCTAAGTCTTACGATATATATGGTATGACTAGAATCAGAAACTTGCTATTTTAAACCGGGGGAGAACTGAACTGTTCAATATGCAAGATTTGCTGTATATTCATGCAAGAGAGAAGAGACAGCACACTCCATCTACAGAAACTCCTGCAGTTTTTATTCTTAATGACCCAGCACCCCTGCTGTTTTGTGTCCCTGTAGTTCAAAGTTGGGGGTATAACGAACATGTTAATGCATGAAGGGAAGAAGATTAGACTGACATGATCTCCTTTTCTCAGAATCTTCCTATTAGAGAAGTAGGGGTTCCCTACAGAAGTAGGGAATTTAGGTACCTCTTTTTGTATCAAAATGCACAGCTGAAACACACTTTAATTACTAAACTAAACGGAAATGCTAATAAATGTTCATAACATCTCCACGAATTCCAGACAGATTCACTGAAATCGGTGCTCTTACAACAAACACCAAGTGGAGCGTAGCAGGAACAAGTTAGGCTACTAAGAGTGGTTACTTTGAAGGGCCAGTTCTTTAACCAGTAGACCGTATTCAGGGTGTTGCAGGGTAGGACTGAGATGTAATGCTACAGCTGCCCAAGGAGAACCCACACTGTGCCTGGCTGCATACCAACGATCATGATTTCTACACAAGCATCTCTCAATTATAAAATGCGCTCTTGTTGCAGGCAAATTCTTCACTGGCTGTCACCAGGTTTGGCTGAACACTGATCAGAAACTTCAAAAAAGGAAAAAAAAAACAACCCTCTCTTTGACAATATGTTTGGAGGCACATTTGTTGTGTTCCTGCAAAACTGTATTTGAGATTGAATGTGGTGATCCTACAAATGATCCTCCAAATCCTAACTTTAGAGATTAGGACAGAACAAGCACATTTCTTCTCCAATGGAAACATACAGACCTTTCAAATGTCTTGGCTTATTGGAGAATGACACCTAGGATGCATTTCCTCGTGCGCATAAAGCGGCTGGAAGAGGCATCTGCATGCCTGTTCTCACTGAAAAACCCCAAGTCAGATAGTGAACTTGCTACTGATGTCACGAAGCACGCACTATCTAAACCAATCACCTCCAACTCCCTTAACTCATTTTTCTTAATGCAGTGTCCTGACCTGTCTCTGTCCTTAATTCTTACAATTATGTAGATCCTAGCAACTAAAAGAAGCTTTCTTTCCAATCATCATAATTTTTGAAGTGCACACTGGTCTCCAAGATAACACAGTTTGCATTTGCCAACCAATGCAAGGACTCTTGGTTCTAAATAATTTTTTTAGCTGAGGTTGTTGTTTGTTCATTGTTTATTCTCCAGATTTCTTCACCACTGCCACTCCAAAGGTAAAGATCCAAGAAAGGAGAATTCGTGAAGCATGGCCCTCTGCACATGTAGCCAAAGCATCAACAGATGCTTAAGAAGCCTGTGTTTTATAGATGATAAGGAAGAAAGGGCTGTAAGAAGCTCTGTCTCTTTGAGAACATATTCCCTTTATAGTGAACAATTTAATGACTACTTACAAAAGGTAGTTCTAGGCAGGAATGGACTTAGATTTGTCTCTATGTATGTTTTGAATAAACAAGTGAGATAGGTTATCTTGAATGTAACTAACTGTACTAAAGTTTCATTAGCTATACTGGACTTTATCACCTCTGCTGAGCTAGACAAATCCTTTGAGATGAGCAGTACTGCTAGTCAAATAGCAAATATGTTCTTGACAAGGGCAGAATCCACCAGACTTAGATATGCCAATGTTGATTCCCTTTGTTTTGGTGTCAAATTTTTAATTAAATCTATTTGCAAATTACGTAATTTTGTCATTATATGACAGAATTGTTTATGTGTTCGCTAACTGCTCAGATGAGTGGCTTATATAAAACAGGGACCTTTCCTTTAAGTAACACAGGGAGAGACTGTTTAAAAATGCGAGCTGTGAGATTCCTATTATTTACAGAACAGATTAGAGTCTTCTCAAAATGGATGCAAGCACTAGGAGACAAAAACCTTGTAAAGCTAACCACTCATGGTGGTGAGGATAAATCCTGTCACCATAAAAATGTGTATTTGCTAGAAATCCCCTTAGAAACAACAATCAAAATAGATAGCACCCCCCTCCCCTTGAAATACAAAGCCAGCTTACACTGAATAATTCAGAAGTCTAATAGGAAAGAGATACAGTTTTAAAATTTAACAAGATTTTAGGATTCAGGAAAATTCTGCACAGAGCATGATACAGTTTTTACTATTTTGCTTTTGTTATGTTTATTTCAGCATTGTTTTTCTTTTCCTAGCCCTCATCTAACATGAACATGCTGCTTCTGGAAAAACTGCAAAGTCTATGTGTTGACAGTGAAATCTGCTCTCATATTTTGAAGACTTTCCCTTCTCCACCTGCATTCTAGCCAACCTCTTACACAGTATTTACTGAGTCTTTTTCCACGTTGTACAAGGCGAGCATTTACACTCTTTTATGAAGCTTACCAAAAATGGGTAAAAGTTAAAATGGTGTACTAAAACAATTGTAAGGGATTGATGACTAAGACTGTTCCAGCAGAGGACTGGAGGCAAACATAAGGAGCAATGCGGGGGACTGGAAAGCTCTGCTTCATCTAGCTATAAGGAGATCTTACCATATGACACAAACAAGAGTCAATCTCCCTGGTACAAAATTATAATTCAGAATAGAGCAGTGTATTGAACCTATCACCTTTGTGCACTCTTTATACTCTGTGCATGTTTTATTAGTCTATTTGTCCTGTTTGAGTCAAACAGTCCGATCGCTCACGTATTTTTATCTGGTTTCAGAAACACTGTTGGAAAACATCTCTGAGAGACACTACTAAACTGGACAAGGGAATTACACATATGCCCAAACACATTTCTCTTTTTCTGGAGCTGCTGTTTACTAAGAGAATTGGTTCTTCTGACTTCATTGTATATTTATGCCTCACAATTTTGGGATCTAACCATGCTCCACGGGTTAGAATCAGGTTGCAAAGCCTTCTGAGGAGCTGCAAGTAGCCCTTCCAAAGGCAGACAGGCAATATATAATTAATAAAATAATACTGACTGTAGTAACAGGTTTACATAAAAAATAAATGTCTAAATGGGAAGCTAGAATAGTCAAGTAACCAGTGTCTATTTACGTTTATGGATTTTATACTACCATCTACACCTGTGCCATAAACTGATACCAGAGATAGGCTAAATGAATACAATGCTGCTATTACAATTACTATTATTATTTTACACCAGTCAGGAGTATGCATATGATTTACAGTACAGAGATACTGTCCCTATTTTCACAATACAACAGAAGTAAGCTGGTAACTCTCTGATCCCCCTAATTAACTGTAGAAATCTTTACATAGGTGAATCTATTTGTGGTGGGCATAAATTCCAAGCTTTTTTCCTTCCATTGCAAAAGGAACCAGGGAAGTGGATATGACTGTATTTTGAAGTAAGAGAACAAATGCAAAAGCTTACTTAGCCACAAGCAAATATACAATATACAAGAAAAGAAAGCTACCTTTACCTGTGAAATAAGACAGACTTGACAAGCGTGACAACGTCCCGACTGGCATTGTACCCTGCACAAACAATGGCAACATGGATAGTCTGTGAGAGAAAAGGAACAGAAAGAATAAAAATTAAAGCCTGCTCCTATGTTCTGTCATTCCTTAAGGACAGCACATACATGACATTGCTATTATTTAGTGCGGCAATTGTTAAGGATTTGAGTGGGTGTTTTGCAGCTGTTTGCAGCCCACTTGAGGCAGTTTGTTAAAAACATCCTAATTGAGTTATAACACCATCATCATTCCAAAGTCATTACTATCCCTAAATTGCATCAGATGTCTGAACAGAATTGCATTTATTAGCTAAGAGCGCATGAGCATATGTGTGCGCGTATGTACATACTCCCCCCCCATTTAGCAGCACACAAAATTCTGATTATGCAAACATGCAGACACTTCAGCCTTCTGAAGTTTAAAATTACATCTGACAATTAGAAGCAGATCTGCTCTTAGAAATTTTGCATTATTTCCATCTTAAGAACAGCTACAAAGAAGAAGGTGAGCAAGCTCTGATGGATGAGCATGAAAGGGACAACTGGTTTGCCAGTGGCAGGCTGCATCGCAGTGACAAGATCAGACACAAGCTGTGAATGCGGATGGTCACTTCCCTGCCTGTGACCACCATTATGGGCTGTACTGGGCAGTGATAATGTGAAGTTAAATACACACCCCCCACACATACATTCTCCCCACTCCAGCATCTTGGTAAATTATCACTTATTCTGTGCCTTCTTACCTTCCTTTTGGTATGAGGCAGAGGTTTGCTCATCTCTTCAAGAGGAAAAGGAAAAGTGAAAAGGCGCTACTAGTCATTATTATTAAAGTAGTAAGTAATAATTTGAAAAATGCTGCTAAGTTACTCCTCTCTAGTGTTAAAATTAGCCACTGCTATTCCCTGAGGACAAAAGAAAATTAATCTTAGTGAGTTTTGACTCCAGCTTCTGCATTTTTCTGTTTCTTTGTGGTCACAGAAATGAAGGAGAGTTTACCATGCTGGCAGCACAAAGCTGTGATTGGGGACACAGCTGTGAAACTGCAGGGAAGCCTCATTTGGCTTCCATTTGAAGCTTGGTTAGCTGGTTTCTCACACACACAGCTCTCATTTTCCACAGAAAGCCCACTACGCAGAGAACAAATGAGGAATTCTGTCTCCTCACATAGATTCCCAAAGTCTGGCTTGTTACAGAAGCAGATTTAAACAGGAGGTGGAATGAGTTAGGCACGTCTAAAGAGTCCATACCCCAACCATTAACACTGCCTGGTACAGGGCACAATTTGAATCATGTCAAGTGGCTGTGCCATTGTGCAACCTCCCCATGAACATCACAGCTGCCTCCAGCCATAGTGTGCCTCACAAGCTGAGGCACATTGAAAATGTGAGGTTTTAAGAGGACTTGAATTAATAAGGCAACTGCCTGTCCAGAGAGGTGTGAGAAAGAAAAGCTATTGCAGTACACTTTGGCAACAGCTCTGTGAGGTATTCAGCACTTCAAATTTATGTTAAAGCCAACTGGAGTTGAGCATGGCTCAGTACTTGGCAAAAAGCTTGTGTTTCTCTCTTGTGATAAAAGTATGGGAGAACAGACACTGCTTATTAACGCCTTTTATTGCAGCAGTGTTTTGTACCATACTTACGGACATAGATGCACTGGTTCCTGACCTTGCAACACTGCCTCCTCTCTGCTTGCCACCTCGTCTTTCTCAGGCTTTTGGAAGATCTAAGATCTTTCCCTTCAATGCCAATTAAACCCAAATTAACTGAGAATAGTCTCATGCCTGCTTTAAACACTTCACCTGAAGACACTGGACCAGACACAAACATTTTATGGGTTTTGACAGAATGGCACTGTTAACATCTTACACTACCTCTACTTGCCAGAAAAGCTCTCCTTGCAAACTCTCTCTCCATCTTGAAACTCTCCTCAAAATCAGAGTTTATTCAGTCAACAACTTGCCCACATCTGTTCCTCTTTTCCTAAATCAGTCTGTTTCAAAATTAAAAGCATGCTTCCCTCACTGTCTTCTAACAGGTGCTGTTGTTTTGCATGCTGTTCCAGCCATAGCACAGAGAGGAGACAGCACTTGGCCGCTCTTCTTTATGTCCTTCTGCAGTTCAAAGACAAATACCTTCTACTCAGGCTCTCTCTGCGGTGTTTGATACTACCTATCACTTGTATTCCTGCCTGCAATCAGCCGCAAGTAAGAGCAATAATCCTCAGAGAATAAAAACCTAGTCTTTTTTCTTCCCAAGTTTTAGCCTGCAGCATGCTGCAAGACTGTCTGTTCCTCTCCTTTTCTTGATTCACTTTCCTCTCCCTCCCTCACTGTTTAACTGTTAAACAGGGAAGTCAACATGAGGTCATCAACCTGAACTGTCTGCACATGTTTGCATCCTAATGAAAGGAACTTTTACTTCCAGCTTGTTCCAAATATGTATTTGGAGAGAGAGCAGATTGGTTATAGGCAAATCCTCGCAAGACAGGGCAACAGCAGCTGGAAGGAGGAAGCACTTCAAAGAACTTACATTCTCCTGAGTATACTACTGTAAGCTTTAGGTCCCGGATTATAAAATAGTCAGCAACATCACAGCTCTCTCAAAATCCTCATTTTCCATCTGGAGATAGCTAGAAGTCTGTATCTCCATCCCACCAGAACTGTGCACTGTGATTCACACAAGTTCCAGACTGGATGACTGCAACACAGAAGGAGTGAAGTCACCTTCCACAACATGGGAGCAGCCTGACTTGCTAGTTCAACATGACCCTCCAAACTTCTCACACCAAGGCTCTGCATGCTGCACTTGCTCCTCGCTGTTTACAGCCAATGATAATTCCAGTTGTCTAACTCTAGCCTAGACATTCAAAAATCACTGTGGGACTAAACTGAGCCCCTTGAAAGTGTCTAGCCTCCTACAATGCTCTTTTTCAACTGAATCATAGATGTTCATCACTAATAGATGTTGCAAGAAGTCTGGACACAGGCCATTCACTGGAGCTGCTTCTAGACAATGGAACTCATTGCAACAACAGATTAAATGATAATACTTTTTGCTTTTCAGACTCAACGAATTCTCCCTCTGTTTATACATACAGATATGAATAGATAATCAAAACACTGTGGAAGTTAATCATGCTGTTCTTCCTACAGGTTGTGGATCAGGAACACAAACAGAGCTATTTTTGGTTTTAAATAGTTTAGGGAGCACTCAGGCAAAGGCACTTCAAGGCACTTAAGGAAGTTAAACTTCTTCAGGAAAAGGAGTTTAAATAAATAGCACCAAGGTGCATGCTAACATAGTTTAGGAACCATTTATTTAGCCACTAGAGACCAGTGTAGAAAAACTGTTTCTGAGAACAGTATTTAAAATAACAGTATTTAAAATAAGTCTGTTCTGGGGTAATATTAATGGAAAGAAAATAACCAAGATCCAACGGTGATGAGGAGTATAAGGTGCCTAGATAAACAGATGTTATTTTTTTTTCCTCCTCAGGCTACTTTTTAGAATGGTGAAATAATGAGCTTAACAAACTGCAATTAGTTCTTACAGCTGAAAATAATCTTTGGTAAAACATTTCATACTCCAATAATTTTCCAGTAGCACTAGCCACGGCTTCCATTGCAGTTACTTAATCCTTCATAAATAATCATTAAATGTGATTAAGAGATATTAAAAGCATGTTACAAAAATGTAAATATGCTACAAACAGATCCCAGAGGCGGGTAACATTTTCCTGTGTTACAGTGCTGGAGTTGGTGGGGTCCTGGTCTTTGTGGTTCTGGAGTACTACGCACTTAAAACTGTTGAGCAACACAGTTAAGATTAGTGACAATATAAATATGCCTGTAAAAATGCTTCAGATGTTAAGTATTCTGTTAATCTACTAAATGTTATGCTGCTAATGAACCATTTTCTAATATATAATCTCTTTTTAAAATATTTATAAATGCACACTTAATTCAAACTAAATGTCCAGTTTATAAGCTGGAAAGATACTGGGCTAACATCATAGGAGAGTCAAATGATTCTGTCAGCTTCCATCAGCGTTATGGTCTCCTGAAGCCTGTTATTTGTGCTTACATCTGTGTAAAGACTACCCTTATTTATACTTCAAGCTTGTGTTAAAATTGTCTGCTGCTGGGAAAGCACAACTGGGATCTGCTCCCTCCAGTGAGAAGGCCCTGTTTGGAACTGATTTTTTGTCTTGTAATATAATGCCGATCCATTTTATAACATCAGAACAGCTATCCTGTGATACAATAGAGCAGTGGTTGGAATGCAACAAACCCACTACTATTTGATTATAGATCAAAATTATTATCCCACAGATTATGCTTTATCAGAGATTTAATGTCCATTCATTGTAAATGCATTTGCAAATGCTTTAATCATCACTAAAGACCATTCCAAAGTAATTCTGAAATTACCTTCAGTGAGTCTCAAAGAACTGACTCAGTGAAACACCCTACTTCTAGCTCTCTTCTCCCCCATGGCCCAGTCTTTTTCTCAGGTACCTTGTCTTTTTCTTCCCAAGTTGTTGACCCTTGCTGTGACATATTACAGAGTAAGAGGCCAAAAAAAATTCTAGTTCACACCTTTGAAGCACTGAAACACAGGGTGAATGTAGTCCAGATACCATTCACATAAACACGGAACCAGAATCTACACTAGTAGGATAAAAGATGACACCCCTGGCAAATCTGATAATAAGGAAGTTTAATTTTAACTTCCATTGCTGTTACTGAATTACTGAAAAAAGCTATTTTGTTATGAAAATAGTGTGTGGTGAGATAGGGGCATAGCAAATAAAGTGAGGTTTCATGTTTTATATAACCATTGCCTTCAGCACAATGCTACACCCTACAGTGCAAGAGATTTTATTGGGAAAACACATTATAAACTGAAAGGCCACTTAAACTATTCCTCTTTTAAGCTGCTATTTTTGTGTCCCAGATTGGTAGGTACACTGAAAAACCAAGAACTGAGATTCAGCTCATTGCTGCTTGGCATGAAAACAAGTGAAAAGTGAAGTTTGTTTACTGAAGTTCTGAACTTTCCTCATTAAAATAAATGCCAAAGTGCTCACAGGGCAGAAAATCAGACCCTCAGTATTAGGAAGAGGGAAAATGAAAAACCTCCTTTTCCCTCTCCTTAAAATAATGTTGGTTCTTTTCTTCCACACTGCTGGACAAAGATGCCTAAATGGAAAGCAATAATTCATTCTTAGACAATACTGGATATTTGCCCATTAAATAGACTTTACTTAAAGAGATAATTAGGACTTCTTTTTCACTCCCACTTACTTTCTTTTAGCTTTTATCTTTCCAGTGTCAGAAAGCAAGATTAAAGGTGATATAGTATTACCCTTTTTGTAGAAATAAATGGAGGAAGTTATTTTTGATATCTTCACCAGCTGGGATTGGCACAAGGCCTTTAAGCAAGGCTTCCTGCTTTGGATCTATCCATATTCGGAACTGTCATCATTCACATAACTGACAACTACATAGCTGGATGCCATCCACAAAACTACTGGCATAAAATGGATAAAACCAAACCAGAGGAAAACCCCCAAATCTTCTTAGAAACTGACTTCCTCTTCTCTGCCGCTAACCATACCTCTTCTGCATAGCTCACACAAAGCAGGTCATTCCACAGTAGCATCCAGAAACACTACTGTAAGTGACTCAAAAGCACAGGCTGGCTCCATAAGCCACAATTTAATTAATGGTAAACCCTGAACTCTTCTAGCACAGATACACAAACAAAGGAATAAGGGTTTTGAAAGCACTGTGGCGCTTTCATTTAGAAATGCACGGGGTCAGTTTGCCACAGGTTTTATCAGCACAGCTGTATTGAAGTCAGCTTGGAACAAGGCTTTGATTTTTACATCAGGTTTGGGAACACAAGAATGAAAAAGACAAAAAACTCTGATCAAATAGTAACCTGAAAGCTATTCAGATGATTAAATGTTTTAAAGGTGTGTTTTTTTAAAGAATAATTAAAAATTATCTAAAAAGTTGCACTCAGTAGTCCTCAAAGAGGCTGGTTTCTGAGCAGAAAGTTTTAGAGGGAAGGAGATAGGGATCTGCAATGTCCTTGAAGGATCAAATCTAAGAAACTTTGTTTCTGGCAGGTTCCTTTTGTTTACTTACCTCACATTTTTCCACTGCTGGTTGCTGCCCACATTCAGAGCTGTTCCCTGCCACAATGCCAGCCCGCAGGCTCTCGCTGTCGCCTGTCCCCTCTTCCATGGAGTAGGTTTTGGAGTGATTGCCGCGGTGGTGTGAGGGGCTGCGACTCTGTGCCAGGCTGAGCTGCTTGCGAAGCACGCGGTTCTCCTCCTCCACCTCCCGCATGCGGACTTCCAAGCTCTCGCGCTCCCGCTGGCTTGACGCCGTGTACCGAGGACTGTGGGGCTGGGATTCAAGTGGAGACAGTGACACTGGCTTCCCATCTGCAAGAGGAGGAAACAGAACACTTCTCTCAGAATATAGTTGGAGTTGTGTTTTCCTTTAATGCCAGCACTGTGAGGCAGGGATGTGTTTCAAATCCAGCCACGTTTTATACAGAATTGACACTTCAAGGTAATGCTTAAGACCACGGTAAACTTGGACAAATGTTAAAGTTCTATGAGCTCCAGGTCCTGTTAATTTTAAAACCACACTAAAAGATAAGCATGTGTTTCTTTTGTTCTGGATAGGGCTGCCTGCCAGTCTCTGGTCTGGGAAGACAGTCAAGACTAGAAGAATTTAATATGAAAGCAATTACTATACAGCTACATATATTTTAGAAATGTATGCAAGACAAAATAATCTTCCTATTCCCCATTTCTTTTACAGTCAAGCTACAGCATTTTGGTTACCATTTTGCGCCAAACAGTGTCCCCAGCTGATTCACATGTGAGGAGCAGATGGTTTTTATTCAGCAGCACAGTATTATGTGCTTGCTGAGAAATGAGAAGCTCAGAAGGACAGAAACATTCAATATACATGTAGGGCAAATTCTGGAAAGTATTTTGGCTGAAAAAGACAACAAGAGAATTTAAAAAAAAAAATCACAATGGTTCAATCCAGAACATTTAACTAAAAAGTTACATTCCAGAAACAGGAAACACTTCATTTTCACATTTTCAAAAGTTATCTTCATTTTTTAAAAACAGCATTAAATACTGAGCTAGAAATAAAGTATATAAAAAAAAATAATAATAACCTAAACCCAAAATCCATAGCCAAAGACAACTGCAGCACAGTCTGCCATCACCTCACAGTACATTATTGCTGCCAAAACATAAGGGAGTAAATAGGGATGTAACTGATGTGTTCTCAAAGGAGACATATTTTCATGTAACTTTAATACAATTTTACATACACAGATTAGAAATGCTTGATGGGTGGTAACAAACCCTCAAACTAAACTACTGGTTTAAAATGTTCAACTGAAATCAAATTGAAACAAAGCAAAATATGGGAAGAGTTATCTACAGTGTCATAATCAACAAGACATTTCTTTACAGTGAAGATAGGTGAATATCATATACTAAGGCATTTCTCTGAAATAACTTTCTACCTGCTTACATTAAAAGAAAAAGTTTGCTATTTAATATTTTCCATGCAGAGAGTTCCTTTGGCTTTATCAAATAAACACCATCCTGGCTGGTTCAGAAAATGGACATCACAGTTTTTGTTTATCAGTTCTCCTTACCAAGTACTTTTCTCAACTTCTGACTCAAAACTATCTCCCTGCTATAATGAACTGCTCATTGCTTGTTCTCTTCCGTTGTTTCACATCTACATGAATGGTGAGCAGTCCTCTAAACTGAGCTCATGAAAAAAACAGCTATAGAAATCAAAACCACAATGCTAACTCCCATTGTTGACGTATACACACTTCCTGTTCTCTATATAAATAGCTATCCTGTTTTAATGCACCATTTGTATATACTATCTTGCATTTGGTTTGCAGACTCTCTTCCAGAAAATAAAAATCTAATTTATTTATTTTTAGTATTAACGAAGCTTATAGATAAATCTGAGCTTCAAAAATGTCTCAAGTCGGATTCTGAAAGTTTGGCCACTGGTATTTTGGAACGTGAATGCTCAAGCAAATAGTTATTAAAAATTAAATGACAGATTTGAAGAGCATGAAAATCATGGATGCAAAAATAGAGAAATGTCAACATTAGGGACAGAAATATGCTATAATTAGAAGAGAAATAAAATGCAGAATTATCTTTCTCCATCCAGATTGGAAGGCATGGAAGTGAAATTGTGTTATTTCTCAGCTGCTGATACCCAAGCTAGAAAGAATAAAACTCATTTGGATGTGATTATATTGCATTCCCATTCCTGGACAGCAAGAGTATATTGTGTAGATACTCTCAGATACAAAGAAAACAAGCACCCCCACTTACCCATACACCAAACAATCTGTGTTAGCATCAGACATACAATTACAATGCAAATCTAGTCAAAGGTTTCACTCCCTACTTGGTGAATATCCAGTATGACACAGATGTCATTTATCTCTTCTTATTCTCGTCACTCCATCTTTGAAAAAATAGTAAGTGAGCTAATGTAAGGGACCACTAATACTTGACTGTGTGTGCTGCTTGGTATAAGAGTTAAACTGACTGCACTGCACTTGAATTTCATAGTTTCAGGTAACTGGCAGAGTGCTCTGAACTGATATCTAGACACTTTTTAACCAATCTAAATCAAAATAAAGTAACATAACACATAACAAGGTCTGAATGACTTCAGGACAGAAGATCTCCCAGGGATCACTTCAAGAAACATTGCTGTGCTCTGAACCAAGTAGTAAAATTTTGAATGGTGCAATAAATAATAAAAAAGCTATAAATTTTTATTATTCGTTTGGGCTTAATTTGGGGCCTTGAAAGTCTCGGATTTATTTTTTTTTGTGTGGGTTTCAAGCCTTTTACTTCAGACTCTTTGTGCTAATACAACTGTACCAAAGAAATAAAAATGATCTGTGAAATTCCCTTGTCCACAAAACCAAACCCAAACCTGAGTAATTATTTCATGGTTGACAGCAGTCAATGACTTATCATCACAGTTGGTCCGACAATTCAGAAAGCTTGATAATATGCAAGTTATGAATTCTATGGATTATTGAACGCTTCTGCAAACGTGAAGTCAACTCTGTTTAAAGCAAGAGACTTCATTAAACCTTACTTAAGCAGAGCACCTTAAGACACTAGAAGAAATAAAGCCTATAGAAAGCAAACCAGCATAATTTACTTTAAAGAATAAAGACTGAAGCAGTGGAATTTTCTTACATACAAAACATAAAAGATAAATATTAACATCAAGTTTCTTGTTTTGTAGTTACCAGACTTGGAGAGGTGATAGTCCTGAAAAGGACTCAGTGGCATTGGAAGCTTGCCGGGGAAGACCCACAGAGAAAACAAAGTTTAGCCAAAGGTTAACTGCAGAGGCGGATAAGGGAGAAGGAAGCAGAGTGTAGGAAAGAGAATTTCACCCAGATTCAGAGGAGAAGACAAGTACAGAGGCAGGGATACCAAGTTTCTCAGATGACCCTCATGTGAACTCAAATGCTTAAAATTTTGATAAGAACTAATCAACACAGGTAAATTTATGTAGCATGTTGTGTGCTATTTTTCCTTAATTTTTTATATTTCTTTTGCTCTTATAAGTGCAAACTACTTGGTTTTGGCCTTTTTATAAGTTCTAGATATTTCTATGTGTTTTAGATATTATTCATCCCATCTAATAGCATGTAATGCCTTTATAATGAATTAACTGATGACACTGAACTCTAGGCTGCATAGAATCATAGAATCATAGAATAGTTGGGGTTGGAAAGGACCTTAAGATCATCAAGTTCCAACCCCCCTGCCATGGGCAGGGACACATTGCTCTAAACCATATCACCCAAGGCCTCGTCCAATCTGGCCTTGAACACTGCCAGGTATGGAGCATTCACAACCTCCTTGGGCAACCTATTCCAGTGCCTCACCACCCTAACAGGACAGAATTTCCTCCTTATATCCAATCTAAACTTCCCCTGTTAAATTTTAACCCATTACCCCTTGTCCTATCACATCTGAGATAAGAGCAAGTTATGCTGCTCACAGACAGTATTTCAGTCTGTCTGACTACAGACACAAGAAAACACCACTCCCCCATTTCACATTTTTTCACATTTGAAAATTCACATTATCACTGCATGCTTTGAGGACTATCAGTATAACAATTTTAACCAAAAGCCAACATTCTGCAGAAAGAACGGGGATAGCAAGCAACTACCCTCATGAATTTCCCTCTGTTAAGACCAAGAGCAAAATCATTTGAAGTTCATTCCAATTACTTTTTTCTCCATACAGATCATCGTAGAAAACTCCATGGAACCCAAGGGAAAGAAAAATAAGACGACTGCGGTCAGGACTGTGGAGACATTAAAGCTCTGTGTAAGCAAATAAACTATTCCTTTTCCTTTGGAGCTCTAGCTCAGCTTTAATCATCTAAAACCTTAGTACTCTATGCACTTCTGCTCAGTTGGATGCTCTGGTAGGTACTGGTTTTACAGGCAGCTATGAATGAAATCCTTTTTGTTAACAGTTTGCAACTTTAAGACATATACCTCCAAGAGTAGGTGCTAAGGCATCCCAAGGTGACTATCCCCACATTCACTAAAGCATTTTTTTTCTCTGACACCTTTTTCTGAATCACTGAAGTGTGATCTCAGCTGGAAGTAGAAAACCTTCCCCAGAAAAACATCGTAATAGTGGAATATAGTCTAAGCAATTTACTACAGATCTGTGAACACAGAACTTCTTCATTCTAACGTGACATGAGGCAATTATAAGCTTATGCTTCCAAGTTTCAGTGGTAGAAAGTTGTGCCACTGAAGGATGTCACAGTGAGCACACTGAAGGCTGATGCCCACTAGACAGAAACAGTGCAAGAAATGGCAACCAAATGTTTCATACTGCTCAAACAAATTTCCTCAGCTCTAACAGAAAAGCTTCTCCCATCAGCTTATTTACATATAATAAGTATTATTTTATAATAGTAAATATTAAGCCCTTCTTGGTATTTGGCACGGACAGCATATGTGCTAAATTACATGTTCATTGCAAGGACTGTTTCCACACCAGATGCCCATCAACCACCAGCCTTAGACTTTGGCAACAGTAATTGCACTTAAGCCCTTCAGCTTGTCCTTTAAGTGCTAAATCTTTGTTCACTTCCACCGCTACTAACGGTACTTACTCACATGCTAACATGTTTTATTCAATCCAAACCTGAACCATTAATTCCCACTGCAGGCCAGCCTCACTTCAAGCATCACATTATTGCCTACTGCAATATACATACACAGGCAGATACTTTCCTACTCCCCTTTCCTTGAACAAGACAGCCCTCTATATTCAGTGGATTTGGAAATTAAACGTATCACAGAGAAAAACCC